ATCTTAAAATGAATATTACTTTGCATGATAGATAGGCAACATGCAAAAAGAAAAAAAATACATGAGAAAAACATTGCTTTATAAACATTAAGACTTAATAAAAAATATACAGCCAAAAATATACATAACTGATTTTCTCATAGTTGCTGTATCAAAATGTTTTTTGTCTTGGTAAAATTTAACAGGTTAAAAATTTAGTAGCAAACTGATATGATTTTTCATTAAAAGAAACAAGTAGTTAAAAATAACCTGGGATTGCTGTCATGTGCATTACATACAAGCTACAGAAATAGTCTGCTTGATCAAAAGGCACTAGGAAAAGTATTTAATTTAGCCTGATATCAGAATAGGACTGTAGTCACATTCTTCATTGTTACAGTCTTAGTAAAAGTTCACAGTGTGTATGAGAAATAGTAACATCCTTATTAGTCTCTAGTAACATTTTCATACAATTGTTTAGTGAAAAATTCAACTCATTACTTGAAAACTTTATTATAACTGCTTTCATTTATAAGCTCACATCAAGTGACAAAATCGTCACTTAGTAAAGATCTAAAATTGAAATCATGTGCAAAATCTATGTGGAAGTGTTTATAATTTGTATGAAAATATCTGTTAGCACCTTCAAGGGAGAAAGAACATCAGCTGGTTGACCTGGATGCTTAAAACTGAAGTTTTCTATTTTATAGAAGTTAATTTAATTGTACAGTTTAGAATTTAATTATATGTAACTTTAATCTTCAGCATAGATGCTTTGAAGTATGTATGTAAAAAAAAAAGAAGTTTCAGTATTTCTCATAGTGCTTCAAATTCAAGAACTATTGCAATTTACAAACAAAGGATAAATGTTTAAGCCCAACATAAACTTTAAACTTGTAGGCTACTCATAATTATGAAAGTTTTAAACTATTTAATTTATACATGTTTTTAAGAATAATGCTAAAAGAGGCTAAAAAGATTACAATTGTAAAAGCATATTTCTGACATTAACTGATAGAACAGTGTATTCTATATATATATATATCTGCCTAAGAGAATTGCTGATAAGGGGATTAATTCAGAATCTTTTATACTTTTTTGAGGGTTAAAAACGTGAGGATACCAGAATACTTATTTAGATAACAGTACATTTGTTTTTCAGCTTTTTCAATGACTGAAATCTTCATTCAATACACAGATTTCATCATAGTATCAACAATTGTAATGTTCTATTTTGCACAGTATTGTATATAATATGCATGTAAAATATTCCAGCTAAGGAATCATAAGATTGTAATATAACTAAAATGTTTAACTATGATATTCATGTAGTTTTAAGATGATATAGAAATTTCCCCCACTTTGTTTTTTACTCAGATTGGTCATACATCAATTTGTCTATACCACACAGTAATCAAAATGACTTTTAATCATTCTACAAAGGAATTTTTGTTATGTAGCACAATTTATTCCAAAAATGTAAGAATCTCTATGTTAATTTTAAAGTGACACAAAAGCTCATGAAGTAGTTTGGAATGTATCTAAAGCATTTGAAGAACAAACTTGCTAACTGGAATTAATTGAAACAGCTTTGAAAACCAAGCTGAGTGAAGAGAAGAACCTTCGACAAAAAGCAGAGTCCATCAGTCAGGAGAAGGAGCGGCAAATATCAATGTTGTCTGTAGATTACAGGAGTTTACAGCAGCAATTACAAAAAGTTGAGGGAGAGTGCCGACAGGAAGTGGATAAGGTATGGTTTGCAGTTTTAATGGATACTCTTTTGAATATTGAATAAATTGTAATGACTTGCTTTTGCTCAGAAGATACAAGCTACAACTACAGTAGGTTCTCTTTTGGATAAGATATTGAATAGTATGAGCTATTTCATTGATATTAATCAGACTACAATTTTAATAGTTACTTATTCAGATATAATATATATAAGCTAAAATTTTAATAACTACCCTTGTGGATAAGGTATAGACTACACCTCTAGCAGCTAAACTTGTGCAAGGTTTTCTTTTTTAATTTTTTCTAGGAAAAGGATTTTATTTGGGGACTGATATGCCACATGACATTTTTGTATTGAAAGCTCATCTCTATTCTAGTGGTCTAAAATGGTGCAGTTTTAAGGGTACTTAGCTTTTTACACCAAAGTTATCTAGAAATAAAACCTTTAAATTTGCAAAACATATAGAGTAAAAGGGGTTAAGTTTAGGGGGAGGGAACTTCTTCCTCTGCTCCATAGAAATAATACCCTGCTTATGGGGATAGGGTGTGGAGTGCAATTTTAGTATAACTTCACAGTTGTTTTTCATGTGGGCTTTGAAGAAATGTCTTTGAAGACTAAATTTAAGATGCTATAGTATACAGTAGTCCCTGGTGTATACGACCCCTCCCAATAACGACTTAGTTTTAGATACGACTTTTTTTTCTGTATGCGGAATGATTTGACCTCCCATGAGCGACTTCCTGACAGATGTGACATACTACCGTGATATTTGGGCAGAAGGTCAGACAATAACCTCTTTATAGCAACTTTTCTGCATTTCAGTAAAAACATATAAATACGTTGTGTTTGTTGTGTGTTGATTTATTTGATTTTACGTGTACATGTATGTACTATAACCTGAAACAATGATGATTCGACTGTAGTTTGTTGATGTCCACAATGGGTGAGTGACTAGATGCCACACCACACAATGAAAATGAATATGAAAGCTGGGAAATTTTCACATTTTATGTAATATTCTTCAAAATATGAATATCTCTACCTTGATTATTCAGTGTGGTAAAAAAAATAAAATAATAATTTCAACAGCAGTTAGTGCTTGATTACAGCAGTTGAGACACTAGTGTTTTGACTAGTAGTGTGCAATTGGCCATGAAAATGAGACCATAAAAAAAGCTGGGAAAACCCTCACCAGCCAATCAGTAGTTAGAATGAGTGTTTTCTCAAGATGTCAGATGATGTAGGTAAGTAACTCTCCTGGTGAGTAATTAATCTGCAGCTTGCTGTATAAATATAAGACATATTGAAGAATAAATCACTTTAAGCCCAGTGGCTCAATGAAAATTCATTTGGCTTCAAATTTTTCATCATGCAGGATGAAGAGAAACAAAAATTTCTGACCACCCTGGGTTATCTTTTTGGCCCCAAAATTTTCTCTGAGGATTGAATGATTTTTATACCTAAATTCCTGCCATGAATTTTGATTTAATAAGTTACTTACATTTTTGTACAAAGATAGATTCTGACTTTCAATGCCTCAATAAAAACATAAAACCTCACCTCACTTTTGTGCACCAAAAACAAACAACAAAATGCTTCTCTATATCATGTCTGCCAGATTCATGAACATTCAAAATGACCCTGTTAAATGTGCAAAACAAACAAAGATGGACGATTTTTTATGAAATAGATTCGGTGTCAGTTTGTTATATTTTACATGTATGTAATAAAAAATGTGATATATGCATGTTTGATGAAATAGAGATGTGATGATTTATGAAATAAATGTGATCAATGAATAATTTTTTTCACATAAAACAAAAACAAAACAATTTTAAGTTATTTTTACTGAACTGTTATCCATCATAACTATTATTATACCAATTTGCTACATCATTTGATAACCTATACAGTATGTAAATCATTATGCTCAAACCTTGGTAATAGCGACTGGCACGGCTTGAACTCGATTGTTCATTATCTGGTTATTGATCCATTGAATATTGGTTTCCTGTCAGATACAACTTTTTTTTATCATGGCAGATAGGTTGGTCGTATCTAAGAGGGACTACTGTAGATAATTGTGATAATGAAGAACCAGCTTTACATTATATGAAGTTTATTTAAGGAAATGGAGGTTTTACTCCAGTAAGCATTAATAGCATATAGTGATTTTTGGGGATGTACATTAATATTAACTTTGTAGTTAATTGTATATCTGCTTATTTAAATGAAACCACATTATTTTTTATCACAACATTAAGAGTATTACATAATATTTCAGGTTTTACATTTTTTTCTTGGCACTTCAGGTTAAAGCTCTAACAATTCAGTTGGAAGATGAGGTACAAAAACGCAATGGATTGCAGGCAGAGATGTCAGCTCAACTGACTGACTTAAACCTAACCAGGAATCGGGAAAGACAACAGACCAAAGAAGTTCTAGAACTGAGGGAATATGTGAAAAATTTGCAGGAAGAACTGAAAGAAACTAAAATGTAAGTCTGAATGTTATATGTAAAGGAAATTATTAAAAAATAGAGACATTATTTCTTACAATTCTTTTTTTTTAATTGGTTTGTAAAACACTCTTGGTCAAAGGCTTTTTGGTGAGCTATGAAAAATCGTGTAATATAATTTTAAAACTTTCTGTTAGGATGCAAAAAGAATTATAATTTGGACAATTACTACTGTAATGTCAATACTGTAACTTCTCTTTGATAAGGTGTAAAAAACGTGAACATTTAGCACTTAATGCTTGGATATTTAAGTTGTTTTTGACTTTACACTGCCAGATGGATGTTATAATTTTTTAAATCATCTACCTGAAAGTAAAATGTGTTATAATTTTGACATAGAGTGCTAGGAATAAAAGCATTCTAGTTCTGATGCTTAGTACTAGAAGTAAAATTGTTATAATTCTGACCCTATATTTGTTAGGAAGTAATATAATGCTGCCATTCCATACTAAGCAGTGTTCCAGTTGGTTTGTTTATGAATATTATTTAAAAGGATGTTGTTATTAATCCAGTTCCAAGAGTTCTAATGAATTCCATATGAAGGATCTACAAGACCAACTAGAGGCTGAACAGTACTTCTCAGTAAGTATCACTATTTTCTAGAATTACTTTGATTTATTTTGTAAAGATTAAAAAATAGATTATATTTATAGTCCTTGCATCTTACATATATCCTTTTATCTTTCAAAATTTTGATGAATCAGTTATTTTACATGACATTAATCAAGCTCATAGGTAATTGATTATACTGAGTTATTCATTTTGCTTCATGGAACAAGTGAGCACTTTAGCTGGAAGTAATAAAATCCTATTACTTGCTTTGAAAATCATATATGATATATTGTTTATGTATCCATTTTAGTTTCAAATATTTTTTTTTCCTAGTAACTGATTCAGTTTCAGTGTACACAGAAACATTGCACTTGAATAGCTATTTATTTTTGTCGATGATAAAAAAATTAAAACATTTTTTGTTTATTGACAGAACTGGTAAAAATACATTATTTTAAGATAGGTTTTGTTAATTTTCTCTTTTTCTCAGCATTTTCCTACCATTTTTACATTTCCACCCCTTAATTTTTTTTTCTTTTTGCTAGACTTTGTACAAAACACAGGTAAAAGAAAACAAAGAAGAATTAGAAGAAAAAGAACGAGTTGTTCAAGAACTTCAAGAAGAAAGGTGGGCTACAAAAATTAATGTGTAATACATATTTCAGGACCTAAGTTATAAGTTCCTAAATTAATGAAAACACTAGAGGATAAACTCATGCTAGATGGGATTGAATACTCGATCTCCCAAATATGAAGTGTGTACATTGCCTTATAAGCCAAATCCCTGAGATTTTTTTCACATAGGCAGCATTATTAAATGTAATACTACATATATGAGAAAGGTATGTATTTGAAATAGATAAGTCCTGTAAATAATGTTGATGTTGTATTATGTAGTTGGACATGTATGGAACAAAAACCTACTAAGCAGAATATGGAGTTTTATTTAGATTTAAAGTAAATAAGTATAAAACTTAGAATGACTGTAAATTAAATATATCTCTTTATACAACATTTTTTGTATAAATACCTTGTCCTTCTGAATAATCTCCATCTTTGACTAAGATCTTTAGATTTTTTTCTTGATCGAACACTCAATAAACCAACATAGTGAATTTTTAAAACTCTGGTATCAAGAAGTGTAAAAACCCACTGTCTTCATTTGTCAGTAATTCACTTATTTTTATTTTTCATTCTATAATGGTATCAACTCTTTTACTCTACCCTAAAATTTTAGCAAAGTGTCTGGTCCACTACCACCAATAATGGAAATGTATAATATTTTACTCCCCCTAGCTGGCAAATTAATTCTTTGAATATGAAACATATTTAAACTTTAAGTCTAATTGTTGATTTTTAGGCACCTATACCGGAATAATTGGAAACAAATAATAGTTCTAAAACAATAAGATTTTAGAATTATAATATCAAGAAATATAAAAATCAACTGTCATCATGTGTTTTATTTTGTGAATTTCTTGTTGTGTGTATGTGTCTAAATTATTTTCTTTTGTGTGCAGTGTGTTAGCTGTAGAACATCAAAAATGAGTGAAGTTGTGGCAGTGACTATTAAAGCTAATTGCTAAAGATTATATAGTGGTTAAACGTGTGATTCATGTAGGAAAAGTATTTAAACTTTAGGCCTAATTGTTGAGTTTTAGGCTCCTGTTGGAATATGCATTTAAATGTTATGTATTAGGTTATTTATAAGCCAGAGAAAGGTAAAGAATTAACTTAATGTGTTTGTTAATGTTACTGGAGTAATTGTCTCTAAATTTAATGTTATAAATGCCATAGTTTTGCACTTGTATAGAACAATGCACATTAAACGTCATTCACTTTTCCAGTCATATAAATGTAGAGATATCACTGTACAATTAGCCAGTAGGAATATTGGAATTCTACGTATGAACTGACTGACACACATTGTTCTTCTAATTACAGTGATAAGAGTATATGTTAATATACACAATTTCAAATTTTGCAATGTATTCGTAGAATTAATACATCACCATTAACTTCAATTTTAAAAAATTATAAATGTTATTTTGTGCATTTTGATATAGTTAAAAGTTATAGAAATTCCTAAACTTGACAAAACAACAAGAAGTTTGTTGTCTAATAGAACTTACTTCTTTTTTCTAGATGTAAATCTTTAATTATGCTATTATGAAACCTGAATTTTGGTTCAACTACATTTCTGTAAAAAACCTTATAAATAAAGCTTTATACAAGAAGTAGACATATCTGTAGTTACCATTAACAAATGTTGAACAAAAAAAAGACGCAATTGTTTCTAGTAACTAATTTCCTTATTTTTGTTATTATGATCTATTTAAATTATTGTACAAATTTTCATAAAATATGTTTCTTCTTTTATTATAACTTTAAACTGTGATCCTGTTATCATGATATTAACACTGAGTCCATTAGACACAGTTGATAACTAGTGGGCTTTGAAATTAAGTTCTTGGATATGAGACCTAAAAGGCTTTGTTTCTAATTTTTGATTCAAGACACTCCAATGAATTAGGTAACATAATTTTGATTATGTGCAAGACTTTAATGATTGCCAATATTTACTAGTGTTTCCCTATTAAATGCAAGTAGCTCAGATTGCAGTTTGATAAATGGTGAGAAGGTCATTTCTTATTGCCATTCTTACAGGGATGGCCTGTTGCATCAGTTGGAGTTAGCCAATGCTCGGGCTGAATCTGAAGCACTGGCTCGCAGAATTGCTGAGGAAACTATCTCTGATTTAGAGAAGGAGAAGATGATGAAAGACATAGAAATCAAAGAATTGATAAGTAGACATCGCATCGATCTTTCCAACAAAGATGTTGTTATTTCATCTGTAAGGGCTGAGTTTTTAGTACTTTCTTATTATGGACAAAATTGTTTGAGTGCAGAGTATGTTCTCTTTATAAGTTTGTATAATTATTCTAGATCACTTGATACTGAGAAATATTATATTCTGATAAAAGCAGAATCATTTATCCTATGAAAATTTCTGAAGGAAAGGATTTTTCATAATTCAATATACCTAATAATGTAAACTTAGGTAACTTAAAATAATTCTTTGCATGGATATTGGACAGTGTTTTACAGTGATGTTGGTTATATGTGAGTATAAGATAATCAAGTAAATACTTTATATTTTGTTTTTTGTATCTTGATATAGTTCTGTGTGTTCATAATTAACTTCTTATGTGTGGGTGTAAAATATACCAGTAGAAACATTATACTTTGGTAACATCTTGCTGTACTTCTGTGTGTTCATAATTAACTTCTTATGTGTAGGTGTAAAGTAAACCAGTAAAAACATTATACTTTGGTAACATCTTGCTGTACTTCTGTGTGTTCATAATTAACTTCTTATGTGTGAGTGTTAAATAAACTAATAGAAACATTATACTTTGGTAACATCTTGCTGTACTTCTGTGTGTTCATAATTAACTTCTTATGTGTTAGTGTTAGATAAACTAGTAAATAAATTATATTTTGATAATATATTGATATAGTTTTGGGTGTGAAAATATAATACCCGATGATGAAGAATCCTGCCTAAACTTAAAAGTTTTTTCTTTTTAGATTACTACTTGCTTAGAAAATTGATATTAATTTTTAGTCAGAAGTAGTAAAATGCTACTTGTTTAGAGGACTTAAAGTAATATATAGTGGAGAATATAAAAGTAATGCTGTGTTAGAACACTTACACTAATATTTTGCATGAAATTTCAGATTAATACTTAGTTTGAGGATGTCTGATATTACTGTTCAAAGTATTTAAAAAAGTAATGTTTGGTTTGATCCTTTAATGTATTGTTTAATTAGATGTTTAATGTACTTTTTCCTAGAGGCTTTAAAATAACAGTTTGATGTTTTGAAGTCATATTAATTAGAAGATTTAAAGCAGTTCTTCCTAAAAAGATGTAAAGGAATGCTTTGTGTAATGTGTTAAAGCAATGCTTTAATAAAAGGAGGATTGAGTAATGCTTTGATGATGTTGATTTTGTACTAGATAAAAGACAAAGAGGCTGACATTAAAAAAAATCTGGAACAAATCTCAAAAGAAAAAGATGAACTTAATGACAAATTGAAGAGTACATTTGAAGGTAAGTATGTGGTTAAGCAGAACTAGATATATCAAATGAAGAGTACATTTGAAGGTAAGTATGTGGTTAAGCAGGACTAGATATATCAATTGAAGAGTACATTTGAAGGTAAGTATGTGGTTAAGCAGGACTAGATATATCAATTGAAGAGTACATTTGAAGGTAAGTATGTGGTGAAGCAGAATTAGATATATCAAATGAAGAGTACATTTGAAGGTAAGTATGTGGTGAAGCAGAACTAGATATTTTAATAAAGAGTACATGTTTTAAAAAAAAACATGAATAATATTATGCAATAAAGATACAGTTAAATGTTTGATGTGTTCAAAATACTTTTAATAATGTCTCTTTTTTTCCTGATATAAAATTATGTCTATAATATGGTCAAATTTAATAGTTTTAATCAGTAACAGTTGAAAAAAAAACATAAACAAATCAAAATATTCAGAAAAATGTGTAGGTTTAGAAATGTGACTGGTTGTTCTTTGACATGATTGGTGAACTTATAATAATCAATCCTTTTATTTTTCATTTAAATGCAAGAACAGTAATTTGTTCCTTTTAGCTCATTATTCATAGGCTTCATATATCTTATTATTATTATTTACATTTGTAAAAAACAACTTTGAGGCATTTCACCTGCTATTGGCAATTTGTATTTTGCATACAATAAGCTTTGTGTTATAATAGTACATCATTAAAGGAAAATTTACATACTTTGCAGAGTTGAAAAACACACTTAACCAATCTCAAGGTACAGATGGCAAGCTTGATCAACTTCAGAAACAGCTTAATACAGAGAAGATGCTGAAACAACAGGTTTGTCCTCTAGTCATACATCTATTAAAAGTATATTAGAAATAACTTGTCTGATGAAATCCATCAGGGCATTCTTTAACATAAAATCAAAATTGATGTCTCCTCAAAATGTATAAGCTGTTTAATAAAAGATACCACCCAACCTTTACAAGGTTTAATACATTTTAGAAATGATACTGTGAAATGAGAGTTACTTATATAGATATTGTTTAGATTAATAATACAAAACAATCACAAACTTTGGTGTCATTTTAGTTGTGTGCCTAAATCAAGTGCTTTATTCTCAGTCAATATTCCACTCTATTAAGTGTTATAGCAACTTTATCAGTACTTTTATTTCAATGAAGGATTGTCATGTTTGTAATACAAACAAAAAATTTATTAAACATTTGCAATTTTTGTTTTTTTTTAACTGAAATAAAAATATGAATGACAGTTTATTTTCCATACTTGCCCATTTCTGTGCAATAAAATTTGCCTTTATTCATTCAAGTTAGGTTGATTAGTTTCAGACAACACAGTTCAACTTGTTTGACTTCACTACCATAAGCATTCATTTAGTTTTGTTTTTTACTTACTTGCTAGTAAATTGATAATGATATAATTGAGTTGAACACTTAATATTTTCAGCTTTTTAGTGAATATAGTAGTTTATTTTGCTTCAGGCTTCAATCAGTATATCTTTTTTTGTAATCACTTGGTAAAATGAGATTTTGGAACTTTTTCACTATGTATTTCTCTTTTACAAAAAAATCTAAATTCAAAGAATAAGGTATCTGAGAACATTTTTTGTTTTTTCACTTCTGTTTCAGGCTGTCAACAAGCTAGCTGAGATAGTGAATAGAAAAGACTTCTCAGGTAAAATGAAGAACAAGGCTAACGCAGCAGATCTTCGTCGCAAAGAGAAAGAATGTCGGAAACTTCAACAAGAACTAACACTTGTAAGAGCTTTGTGGCAGAACATTACAAATATTCATGAGATAAAAAGAAATATTATTTTTTTCATATTCTTTCATAACTTAATTTTGTTAATACTACATAAAAAACATTGGAATGATTGAAACGTAGGTGCTAAACATTTTGTTTTGGCTGTGTGCCTTAGGAAAGAGATAAATACAACCAGATGGTGACCAGATTCCAAAAGGAATTGGCAGAAATTCAAACAACCCTTGTAGAAGAAACTCAGATTAAGAACAAGCTTCAGATGGAATTAGACTCTAAGGATTCAGAAATAGAACAACTTCAACAGAAACTGTCATTGTTTTGTAGTGAAACAGCAAGTATTAACAGTGGTCCCGATAATGAGACAGATGATGGAATTACTGGTAAGTGACAAATTAATTTATTTATTATTTGTAATTTATTGGCTTATAATGGATATTAAATATCAAGCGGTTTGTTTTTGTTAGTTGTTTCTTAAACATTTTAATTTTTCACTTTATATTACTGTTTTGTAAAATAAGTTTATTTTCCTCTTACATTAATGATTGATTCATAAGCTAATATTTTTCTTTATACATTTTTTTATTTGATGCTGATTGTACTTCTATTATGTTTGAAATGCAAGTTGTATTATTAAGTCAGTGCACAAATTGTTCAATAGCATTAGTTACAATTATTATCGGAACTGATACGTGATTTATCTTCTGTACAGTTACGTAAGTTAAATAATCATTTGTTGTTGAATAATTGAATAAATTTAGTTTCTTTTTACAGTAATAGTTGTTAGCTGATGCCAAAGATATCCCTCCTATATATTTACCTTATATTTTATAGAAATTTTCATAGATTGTTTGGTAAAGAATCTACCCGATAAACAGACCCGTGTGTTAAAATTCTGCCCAATCTTAATTTCAAAGAGATTCCAACTTTCACAGATAGATGTGCCTCTGTAGAATTTGATTCAATAGTTGTTAGTAAAAGTTTAATCTTTTCATACAAGCATAATTATCTGTTGCACCACATTTCTCCTTGTTACTATTTATCAAGCTTCTCTTTCTGGTTCCAAGATCCATTATTCAAAGCTGGTTTATTGAAACAGACTGTATATTCTTATCAAAGTGTCTAAATGAAAATATATTTCCTTTTCATAGTTTAATATTTGGGTAATATGTGCATTTGTGATTAGGATCTAACCTTACATAAAATGTTTTATTTTCAATTAATTTTTAACCTTATGTGCTTTACAAGTTGGTGTATTTCTATTCTAGAAGGCTGGTTGTCAATACCAAGTAAACAGAACATCCGTAGGCATGGATGGAAGAAACAGTTTGTTGTTGTTAGTAGTCGGAAAATTCTCTTCTACAACAGTGAGGCAGACAAAGCTAATTCTGACCCAACTGTTGTATTAGATCTTAGGTTTGTATTGTAGGTTTATTATAAAGTTTTACATTAGTTCCTTTATAGACATACGTTGTGTAACTGTTCTTTACTCTTTGTGTTAATGCACCATTGTTAAATAATTGAATAAATTTAGTTTCTTTTAACAGTAGTAGTTTAAGTTTTCACTTTACATTGCTGATTCAAAAAATAAATTTATTTTCCTCTTGCATTAATGATTGATTCATAGGCTAATTTTTTATTTTATCCATTTTTTTATTTGATGTTCATTCATAAAACAAATTTATCTTTTATATTAACACTTTTGCAAGGATACCCCTTTAAATCCCTTTCTATGCAATTCATTGAGCTACATTCAAAATTTAATCAAACAACTTTACTATCAATGTATGTTATAATTCAAAGTTTTATGTTATCTAAGTTTTAATTCCTTTGTTTCAAAAGAAACCTTTAAAAAAATACTTAAACTTCAGTTTTATTGTCATGTGACCCACAACCTATGAAAAATTTCAACTTTCACACTCTCTATCTTGAATAAGATAACCACAGTCTGGAAGATGTATATCTAGACATTAAGTACATTTACTTGCCCTATTGATACACATGCTCCGTATGCATGGCTGAGTTCTGTTGAAACTAGAGACACGTTTTTCCAACCCTGACAGATGCTATTCCCACATTCTATACTATTTCTTGAGCTTTACAAGTTACATGTGGTTACTTGATACTTAGTTATTAAAAAGAACTTATTTTACACTATAATCCAAAAATAATTATTTTGAAATTGGTGCACAGTTATTATCATCGAGTAGATGTAACTGCTGGTAATATTTTTGGCTGCTTTGTTCACGATAGTACTTACGGTTGTTTCTTACCTAAATATGTTATAGTTAGAGAGACAAGTTAAATTGTGTTCAGGTTTTACTTTTGTATCTTAGTTAATTATGTATTATTTGTATTTTAAAATGCATAATTGAAAGGTTTAAACATTTTTTAATTTCATCTCAAAAATTACCCCAGTTCACAAGGCTTATGATCTTGCACGAGTGTAAGATAATTTTGCCGAAAGCTTGCAGATCTCTCCCAAAGATACTGTAATATGCCCCAAGATCCTTGTTGATTTGTGTTGAGATGAATAATAAATGGCAAAGGACAGGAAAGGAAAATAAAACATAAAGACTTAAGTATACATAAATAGACCTGAAATTACAAATTTCACCAAAAGAAGATCTTTTAAGGTAATCGACCAAAAATTAAAAGGTATGTATATATTTTTTCTATTTCTTAATTTTATACATTTAATATCTACAGTTAGTGATATAGTAGAGAAAATGAAAAATAAAATATAGACATGTACCTTAAAAAAACTTTTGATATTAATTTAAAAGGTTCTAGAGGTTATACAAGTACAACTCGAAACTGTAAGATGAAGAAAAATATTTTTATACTTAAGATGAAAATCACCTTGCACTCGATGGCATGTTCAGAGTGAGTGTAAATAACTACCATAAATAGATAACATATTTTTAGTAGAAAGACTTAATTAAAATAATGTCATTCTTTGTGTACAAGATACTTATAAGCTTTAACAAAATATTACCAGTTTTTGTGAGGATATGTTAAGAAATCTCAGAGTTACCATATGTATTGTTGCACACGTGTGATTCCCCAGTTGGACTCCTGAAAATTACAGGAGAATGATGCAAAAGGGTTAATGATTGATACGTAATTTAAGTTTGATTTGTTATCTAAACTTAATCTTGTAATTATATTCAACAAATGTTTATTGTGTTCTTTTAATTAAACTTTCCTGTTTAATTCAATATTTGATTATCTGTTTTCAGTAAACTGTTTCACGTACGTTCTGTTACTCAAGGTGATGTAATACGTGCTGATGCCAAAGATATTCCTCGTATATTTCAGGTATGTTTGCAGCTTCCAAGATTTTTGTCGTTTACATTTAGAATTTATCTTTAAAAAGTTAGTAATTGTTCAATCTTCAGTAGGCTTGCATTTATGGATTTAAATGTTGTGTTTTTGTTATTTTAGAATTTTAAAGTGGGAACCAAATTTTGCTGGATTTTTTTGTCTTCAGAAGTTCTCTTTTGCTGTTTTTTTTAGTATAAAACAGTGTGTCATTTTGAAGTTATTGTGCAATATTTTCTACTACTTTTAAATTGTACATATTAAAACAATAATTCACTCATTTTATTTCTCTTTGGGCTCCAGTCATAGAATGCTTTTGATTAGGGTTATGTTTTAAATACAACTTGTTTTGTAAAGTTACTGGACAAATTGTTTAATAATATATGTTACAGTTATTATCTGAACTAATTACATGATTTTTCTTCTCTACAATTGTTATGTAAGTTAAATAATTCCCTTTATTACAGTGAATGAACTAGTCAAACAATATTTGTTTTTAAATTATTGGTTGTTTGTTTTTTAATTTCACAGCAAAGGTAATTTTACTTAACTGTAGTTTGAGTTCTTTTGAAATAAGATTGCATTTATTATTGGCCTTATATGAGATCTTAAAATTGTTTTAATAGAAAAACTTTCACATTCAATTAAAGCATGTTGCAATATACTTTGTTTCTGTGTTCATATTTTTCTTTTGGTACAGTTGGTTTATTTTTGTAACAGTTGTCTTAACTAAATATTAATAATTTTACAGACACTTAAAACAAACAATCTTTTGTTACAGTTGTTATATGCTGGGGAAGGAGAAAGCAGAAAGCAAGGAGACACCAGCCTTCTTCCAGAAGTTCAATTACCCAAAGATGTAAGTTTGTTATTTTTCGATTATTTATACAATTAAATAGTACTCTTTACATATAACTAACCATTGTTGTCAGTCATGGTGAATTAATTTATAGAAACTATATACCATCATTATAAGGAAGCTAACAATATTAACTCTCCCTACAAGGTCGATTGAATCGACTGACCTCATAACCATTTGTTACTCTTTATAATTTCCATACTATAACTTTCAATACACTCTGTATATCTTCATAAAATTTGACAGACTTTTAGTAAACATTACAAGTCTTTCGTACACAAAAAATTTAATATTTTTACTAAAGATTTGTCCATGAATATATATAGCATTTCTTTATACTAGTCTGAGTGCATAGTGATTTTCATGTTAAAATTAAAAATATTTTTCTTAATCTAAAAAATCTCAAATTTTTTTCCGTTATCTCTAAAACCTTCTAAATAAATTTCAAAAGTTTTTTTCCAGTAAAACCTTGTTTTATATGTTATATTCTCTACCCAACTTTATACAACATTGGTCAATTTGACTGACCTTGTAAACATAAAAAAATATATATATAAATTTTTTTAAATAACCATTTTTTTTTTCTATAATGACTTCAAGTTGTAATATGAAACTACATTTGTTTATCCAAAATAGATTTAAATGCAAAACAGTGTACATCTAGTTATACTTAAATGTTATTGTGTTATTGCCCTTTAAACTGTATCTAACTAGTATTCACACCATATAAGTTGTAAATCACTTGGTAAACATGCATCTCACATTATGCTATCAAATTTCATTACACACGATCTGATCAGGAGTGTACCTTCTGAAGAAATTTTATTATATTATTATTATTTATTTCACCTAACCTTAACTGACATAAGTTTCCTATTTTAACATTTTAGTTACTTTTATAATAATAAATATAGAATACACATGAAAAACAAGAAATAAAGTACTTCCCTGGGTGTTTTTTTTTCTTGCTGAGGACTGTTGATGACACTTAACACTACTTATTTTTACTAATGGTAGTACTGTGCTAAATAATATTTTACTTGATTAAATAATACACCAAAGAACACAGAATTATAACATGCAAAAATCAGAAAATGTCCTGAACTATCACAATTTTTCTTGCTTTCTAACTATGCAACAAGAGCCATTAAAACTTTATTTAAGCTTGTTGATATGCTTTCATTGGAATCAAGCTTGAATTGAAAACGAAAACAACGTAATATAATACATCATTTAATATATGAAACCTTGGCTTTCTATTGGTTATAATAATAAAAATATAGTATTAAACGTTGGAGAGAACTGTTTGCAATTTCTGAAAGAGAGGATGTGACAGGTGGACATGGCAAATAAGATTGAAGCCTATGAAAATTATGCTTTACCTGAGTGATGATGATATTATAATGAGTAATTTACATTAAACTTCATAATTCTTGGAGAGGTGGTAAATAAATTAGAGAAAGGGGGATACCAGAGAGCAAATGTCACAATTCTCACGCTAGGAAAAATTCTAGTTTTTTTTTAAATATTGCCTTATAAAAGTAAGAACTTGTATACTATTAAAATATGGATTAGTAGCTACATTTTTATGCTATATTATTGATATACGTTGAAAAGAAAGTTGTTTAATTAAAATTTGAATGTAACTCAAATGAAACCTTGTGATATGCCCAGAAAAAATACATGTTTCTAAAAGTTTTAAGCAGGTAGCATGATAAACATTTATTCAAATAAACTGTTCTTGATCCCTCTATTTATCATGACAAAAATAGACATAGCAAATATGAATTTATTAGTCTGAGTTTATGCTGAATATAATCAACAGGTGTAGACAAGGTTGATGATTTGGACAAACTGCACAAAAATAATTCTATGTATTAACAGCTATATTGATATGATTTTTGGATCTTCATCATCTTGTTACTATACGTTTTACAGTGTCTGCTCATTCTCTGTCTGATGATCATTATTTTGCATACAGCTTTTGCAGTGTAGTTTCCCTTGAAAAAAAAGACACCATTAAGGCTGTCATGTCCAAAGCACACCACTCCCACACTGGTTTCCATAATCTATCTAAAGTATGAGGATGACTGTTTCCCAGCACCCTTTTAAACAGTCCAGTTGCATCCAGCAACTTGACCAGTATGTCTTCATATGGAATAGAATAAATACCCACTTCATTTTCCAGTTGCTTGAGGTATGCCCCAGTTGAACAGATATGTCATGGAAGCAGCTTCTTTACATTTGACTTGTGTTGTTTCTCCAGATAAAGATCCTTCTTGATTGTATTGCATGCTGTTGCCCAAGACTGGATGACTTTTACCACTGATCTCTGTGTTTGTTGATTTTCATCTGTTACAACACACTGAGCTTTTCTGGGATATGATTTGTTGCAGATATCTTTCTGGATTGCCCTGGTGTCCCAATTTGATGCATATTCCTTTGCTTACCAATGTCATTAAATACAAGGGATATCCCTATTTTGGAACTTCTAAATCCTCAATCTGAATGCATGTTGATGATCTGAGTAAATATATATTTTTCACTTAAAATGTGTGTTAAAGCTTTGGGAATTAAGGCTCTTATGTCATAGTTAGAAAGCCAGTTATATCATGATAGTTATAGGACATTGTTTGCTTTGTGTATGTCATTGTTCCGTATTCTTAGGTGCATTATTTAAGTAAATAAGAATTATTTAGTGCACTAGTACCAACAGCAAAAAACTGAGTCCAATGGTAAATACTATATTCCTTGTTTTTCATGTATATTCTTTATTTATAATTATAAAAGTAATTTAAATGTAAGAATTTGAAACCTACTAGGTTAGATTAGGTAAGATAAAGAAAATAATAATAATAAAAATTCATCACGAGGTGTGCTTATGTGCAGCTCGTTTCTACCATCATTCAATATGGTAACATAAGCTATATGCTCGCTTAGTAATTTACAACTTGTATGTGGGATTGTAGTAAACTTGGTTCTAAGGGCAATAAAATTAAGTTTAAACAGATGTATACTGTTAAGGCTTAAGTTATTGAGGATAAACATTTATAGTTTCGTTTTACAATCTACAGTCATTCTAGAAAGAAAAAGGTTGATTTGATTTATTTAAAATTTTTTAATGTGGTTTCAAAGTTGGTCAAATTGATCGAGTCCATATAGAATTAGGGTAGAGGAAATAATAAATGAAATATAAAATTTTATTGAAAAAAACGTTTCATATCTATTTAGGAGGTTTTTAGAGGTTATGCAAATAAAATTTGAAATTTTGTAGATGAAGAAAAGTATTTTAATATTAATATAAAAATCACTTTGCATTCACAGCAGTTTCCTCCCAGTGGCATGTCTGTGGACTTACAATGCTAGAAACTGGGTTTTAATACCTGTGTTGGGCAGAGCACAGATAGCCCATTGTGTAGCTTTATGCTTAACTTCAAAAAACACTCAGGGCAATCAGCACTCTGACTTTGTGTATTCATGGACAATTCATTAGTAAAAATACTTAATTCAAATATTTGATTTTTTATGTACAAAAGATTTGTAATATTTACTGAAAGCTTGAAAAATTTCATGAAGATACATGAAACATATCAAAAGTTATAGTATGGTTGCATTGTGATTACAAGGTCGGTCAAATCGACGAGCCTGTATGGAAAGAGTTAAAACATAACATTTTTTCTAATATTTCTGTACTAATCTAATACTTGACCTCTTGCTATAATGCCTTATCATAGTTTAATACTTACCTGCTACTTAGTTAATATTGTAAAACTTAGTCATTATTCTAAGGTTTGTCTTCCTATCCAGTGTTAAAAATTAGATCACTTTTTATGTTACTACTGTTCATTTTAAATCTTGACTACTATTCAGTATGTGACCACAACTTTAAATACTTGATTGTTTTAATATCTAATGTTTTCTAGCTAATGCAGCCAGGAACATTCGACCACAAAGGCCATGAGTTTGTGTCTATCAGCTTCCATATGCCAACAACATGTGAAGTGTGCCCACGGCCATTGTGGCATATGTTCAAACCCCCACCTGCACTAGAGTGTAGACGTAAGTATCAAGCCTCTTTTTACGCTAGTGTAAGTTATAATTAGCCGCTAAAAATACAAATACAGCTTCATAATTTTTTTTTATTAAGTGTTACTTAATGAGACTGTTTTCACTATTGAAACTGCTATAAATCCAGACTTTTACATAAATAACCCTTTTCTTTATTATTTATTAAACTGTTGGTGTTATGTTAAACTTATCATTCCTACCTAGAAACAGATAGCATCTAAAGTGTACTTTGGGGTGAGCATTGTATAGTGGTTAGTGTGCTGGGTTTCTTACAGAAATGTCTAAAATTTGAGCCATGACACAGCTGAACACACTTTGTACTTCCAGCTTTGGGTTTGTTATAAAGGTGATACTAATCCTGTTGTTCATTTAAAAGCCTGACAAAGCCCTTGTGGCAGTAGGTTCTACTGACTAGCAGCCCTCCCTCTGATTAATAGTTCAAAGGAATTGCCATACTTCAACCCAAGAAGTTTCTGACCTGATCACTTTGCTCATGTGTTGCTAAAGGTGCCATTCAGGTTCAAAAATTAAGCCTCATTTTATTGGAAATGTTTTTCTAAAGCAAGTTCATGTTGTATCAGAGTGCTCTGTAAATAACTGGGCTTATACATAGTGTACATAATATTAATTAGTGGAATAAAGACTAAAATAAAAGGTTAATGAAAAATTATAAACACTAATTGTTAATCATTCTAACAAAAATTTCCAACAGTTATGAAAGAAACAGTACTTACAATACAAAGTATGCATGTAGTTTAGAAATGTAGTTTATCAATAGATTGTAGATATAAGAAAAATTTCAAGTTAGATAGACATCAAACTAAGTTAAAATGGACACATTAGATAAATAAATTCTATAGTGGACACAGAAAAACAAAAATAAAAAATAGTAAAAGAAGAGTATTTGATCTTCTTCAGAAAAAATGAGAGACAAAGAAGGAAAATTTATTATAAAATATCAAAAATCCACACAAAATCACAGATTGACGACCACATGTAATTTAGTTACTTAATGACATGTTATTTCTGTTTTGCTCACTTTTTCCAGAAAAAAGATCAAAAGTTTATTTAAATTTTCAGTTTGTTTCATTTATGTTGTCTTGCCAAAATTCTTTTATTTAATCTTAAAGTATATTTAAAATGGCATGAGTTTATTCAGATAAGTATAAAGACAAAGTTGAAAGGAAAAAGAGATATGGAACTCTTAGCCCAGAGTTCTAATAACTTTTATTTTTGTAGGGTGTCGAGTAAAAGTTCATAAAGATCACCTGGACAAAAAGGAAGAAGTTATAGCACCATGTAAGGTAAACTATGATCCGAATTCAGCTAAAGAAATGTTATTGTTAGCAAGCACTGTGTTGGAACAACAGCTGTGGGTTTCTCGTTTACGTAAAAAGATAGAAAAGTGTGGATATGCAGCCAACCAGGAAACTCGAGCATCTCCAAGGTTAGAAAACTTCATATAACTTAATTCAAGAGCTATTATTAAAAGTTCCAGACTTTTGCTCTTACTTTCTTGTGTGTGCATTTTATTATCGGAATATGCTTGAATTATTTCACTTTTGATTTAATATTATTCTATTGTAGTTGCTTTCTACATTGTTGAGCTAGGTATGGTCTAATGGTTAGTTTGCCTTGCTCTGAATCTGAGGGTTCATGATTTGTATCCTTATACCACAGAATTGCATTCTCCACTTTGGGGTCATAGGTGCATTATAAGTGATTATAAATCTCACTACTTAATTAGAATAGTCCAACAGTTGGTAGTGGGTGATGTTGACTAACAACTTTCCCTTTAATCTATCAGTTCAAAATTGGAGACAGCTGGTACCGATAGCCCTTACACAAATTTCTGAAACAAACATACAGATTCTAAGCTGTAGCTGTTTGAAATGTACCTATAAATGCTTTTTATTTTTAAATACTGATAAATCTTTCAGCCTGAATTTCAGGTAGAAAACATTACAGTACCATTGTTCCAGCAGAATTCAATTTCCTGTATGTCATTTAAAAAAATTTGGAAATGTGCTAGTAATAAGTATAAAGTACTAAATATCAACTGAAAATTCCTTTATGTTCCTTGTAAACATTCTACAAAATACCTAAAACTTCATTACTTGCTATTGACAGTTCTTTTAACATTAATGATGTGGAATCATTATTTTATACAAGATGAACATAGTTTTTAAATACTGTATTTTCAATTTTTAAGTTTTTTATTTCTAACTTTTTTTTTAAGGTCATCAATGAGGTCGACAAACAAATACCAACCCCAGAAGTCCTCTACCTTACCTCCTTTTGGATATTCAGCATCAATGAGAAAGTGAAATTAATACAAACTTAAGAATGAAAACACTTCATAGTGTCTTTCTTGTGCATTTTATGTAAAACAAAACATACTGTGATCAGCCAGATTACTAGGTGAAGTGTGCCATAGTTGTTTGGCAGATTGAATCTTTAAGAAGAATCTTACTGATCAGCCAGGTTGCTAGATCATTATGTTGAAGATAGCATTAATTGTTTATATTTTAAGAACAGTCGGGTACAATTTTCTGTTTTATTTTAATTGCTATGCAAAAAGAGTATTATTTGATGCCATACTTCAGTAATGTAATGACAGTTGCTGCTGGCACATAATTCTGAGGTTTTAAGTGACTTTAAATAACTATTCATTGCTATTATAACAGTCTTGTACAGTAATGCATTAATAACAGTTTCATATGTTTTAAGAGATTATTTTATGAGGTATTTAAGACTGCCTTAAAATAAGTAAATGTTCAGAAGATAAAACAGTGATTCACATAATGTCATTATCTTGGCATATTTCAGTTCCTGCTGCATTAGGCTTTGTCAAAGTTGTATGGTATGTTGCTATAGTAACTAGGCACTCAGAACTTGATTATTTAGGATGTATTTTTTCAGTAACTGCACATTAATACCTAAGATTATCCTGTCTTTCAAAACTAATTGAGTTAGGTTTGTAGATTCTTATCAACTCTTAGGCACATCTACTAAGTTCATTATGTACTTATAGAACATGTACAGGTGTTCCTCAAAACTCGGATAAGAGGCTGATAATAAAAGTACATAATAGTAAATTCTTAGATGTTAATATATCACATACATCTTAAAATTAGAAGAATTTGTTATTTTTGCCCTTAGTCCACAAATTTGAAACCACCATCTTTTCAAATATTTAAAAACATAGTTTGTTGCCAAGCGTGAGACGGGTCTGCCCGGGTTTGGGACAAGCTTAAGATTTATTTTTATCTTTCAAACAGAAACAGCTGTTTGCATCATTGCAAAC